AACACCTTTGTGACTTAGGGTCCTATTATAGGTGAAACACCTTTGTGACTTAGGGTCCTATTATAGGTGAAACACCTTTGTGACTTAGGGTCCTACTATAGGTGAAACATCTTTGTGACTTAGGGTCCTATTATAGATGAAACACCTTTGTGACTTAGGGTCCTATTATAGGTGAAACACCTTGGTGACTTAGGGTCCTATAACACCACCTTTGAATATTTCTGGCATATTAGCCACCAACAGCATCGTCATGGCTTTACTTGTCATACTGATTTTCCATCACTGTAGCGTATCCAAGCATCTATTGATGTATGTAGTTAGAATGGAACGTAAGATACCATCTTACTATAAACTATAAACGTCTACCGTGGTTCTGGTAACTTTTCAAGTATGTAGTTGTGTAGTTAGAATTTAACGTAAGGGACCATCCTACTATAGGTGGATGTTTCTGGAAACTTTTGAAGTAGATCTGCCATCTTTGACTGTAGTGTATCTAAATGTCTACTGATTTATGTAATTCAGAAAGCCTACGTGGAAATGATTTTCAAATTCGGATTAGAATTATCTAAAAATTATTGCACCGTCAATTAAATGGATGACAATAAAATAGCAGTGATTAGCAGAGAATAGAAGTGTTTAATAGGTTATTACAAGAAGCTTGTAAGATGTATTCCTTGAGACAGTATTAGAAATAAACTGATTTTTGTGTGTGTAAATGATGGAGTTTATTTCTCAGCTTAGCCACAAGGATCCCAAACATGTTACTTTATTTGCTGGTATGCGAATAGTATTATTTGGCCAATACATGTACACTTTGATCAACTCTCTGGCGGTGAGAGGGTCACACAGGAACCCCAAGCAATTAATATTCAAGTGGTAGACGAATTAACCACCGACCTGAGAGTAAAAGGTAAAGTTTATTTAATTTACTTCCATAACTCTGAGAGCGGATGGCAAATTCTCCCGAGCCAGGGGCTCATGTATATAGCGCTCGAAGGTGCGCACTTTAATACCCCCTCAGACCGGCTACCAGCGTTCCTTATTACGGGTATTCAAAGCTGAAGCTACACAGAAAGAGATCGAAGTCGAAACAGACGTGAAGATCCTGTGGATCGAACAGTCCAGGTAGACTTCTTGCTGCGAAGGCCGCGCACCAACTGAGATATTCACTGAGCTACGCCTAATCAAAATGCAGAAGTGATTTTTTTGGGGTCAGTTTTAAGATGCTGGTGATATAATTATGTAGAAAATCACAAGGTCTCTCTACAAAATATCAAGTCTCGGAAATCTTGGAATCATGTGCAAGACAATTGAAAATCTCTGACAGGTATGTAAAAAATAAACAAAAACAAAGAAGTAAACATTTGATGTTGCCTTTCCATATGTAACTATTGCCGAAGGGATAAAATAGAACTTCATCATTTGGGCCTGATGTGCATGTTCTCATATTACACTGCTAAGCTAAGGTTCATTGTAATTTTTAGATTTTAAAGGTACTGAAAATTTTTTWAAAAAAATTGAATTATTGGACGTGGAGGAAAAGTAGCGAAAGAAATGGGAAATATGACGTTTATTAGTAAATGCCTTAGTATGTAACTCAAGACCATAAAATTAAAGATTTCAAATCGTTGAAATGTGCGTGGACTGAATTAATTATAACATAAGAATAGATGATGAAGATGATGATAATGATAAGATGATGGTGATGATAATGGTGATGGTAATGATAATAATGGTGGTGACGATGACGGTAATGATCATGACGACAATGATAGTGATGGCGATGACTATGATTACGAATAATAGGATGACTATCAGAAAGATCATGAAGAGGGATCATGATGATGATGACGATGACTTCCCACGTTAAAAGGATAAGGATAAGGATGCGGATAATGATGATGATGATGATGTTGATGATGATGATGATGATGGTGATGATAAGAATAATAGGATAACGATCAGGAAGATCATGAAAAGGGATCATGATGATGATGATGATGACTTCCCACGTTAAAAGGATAAGGATACGGATAATGATGATGATGTTGATAATGTTGAAGATGATGTTGATGATGATGATAAGAATAATAGGATAACGATCAGGAAGATCATGAAGAGGGATCATGATGATGATGATGATGATGATGACTTCCCACGTTAAAAGGATAAGGATGCGGATAATAATGATGTTGATGATGATGATGATGTTGATGATGATGGTGATCCAATAGAAATAGTTATTCGATGAATACACTCAATTGAAGAATCGTTGTCGGGTTCAAAAACATAGAACATAGAAGCTGAGACCGAAATGGTACATGGAAAATGACATAATTATATTATAACTTATTCATTTGCGCCATCCATGCAGTCGGTTTGGAATGCCAAACGCGTATTCAGAAGGCCTGCGTTTGAGAGTGGATGATGCCACGGGTCGCCGGTCATAGCATGCATATAATTAACGTACTTCCCATGTGCCATTTCGGTCTCAGCTTCTATGTTCTATATTTCTGAACCCGACAACGATTCTTCAATTGAGTGTATACTGCCAAAACATAGTATTTGCATCAAACATCTAAAGAAAAAGATATGATAAAAAATTGAGAGAAAATAAGGCTTATACTCATCTAGTAAAACTAGCTGGCCTAATCAAATGAACGAACAATCAAAAATAAATATAATAAAGAAAAAAAGATCTTGCTATACAATGCTAAAAACGAGTTCCTTCTACTGCGCTTCTGATACAACGCACACAGTCATCATTTTTTCGGTGTTTTTGTACTCAGCTTGCCTAATTTCAACCCGCTGAACCTGTTTTATTATGGCTGTACCATATCAAAGCCCCGCCCTTTATTACCGAATTTATTACCAATGATGCATTATCGACGAATTTCTTTGAGAATTTTTTTTCCGATAAAAATTTGCTTGATAAAACATTATTCGCATCATTAAAATTAATTTCGTAAATGACAGCAATTTTAGTTTTGATTAAAATCAATTTTTCAGAATACTGCAGGTGAAATGTTTTAATGAAGGAAAAAAATCCACAGAGTTTTTAATTTAGTTCTCTTTTACTTCTATTAATATTCAATAGTGTGGCTGTCAATCTAACTTCGCTTTGTCGCAATTTTTTTAATGATTGGTCATACTCTAGATAGATGGATTTACCGTGAATGTCGTAAAACGAATTTTCGCGCAAAAATTTCAATCAAATATATTTATGGCTTTGTTCAGATAAGCATATCTTCTCGCCTGAACAAACGAATGGACCAAAATGGTATTTTTATCCTTGTTAAGTAAATGTTATTTGTTGAAGCCTTTTTCTTGGTCGTTCCATAAAAAATTATTGATGACATTTTCTATTTGGGTGAAAAAATAATAGTGAATGGGAATACCGATTACCAGAAGAAAGCCGATGCGTTTAAGTAATGTATTTTATGTCACTATTCAATATTCTGATATACCATATGGCACATAACATATATATTTCAGTGTCGTTCAGCCCAACGGGGTGTGTTATACTGGTTTTTAGCTCGTTCTCTGTTCAACTGCCTTTTCAACCATGGTTATCCTGCCTGTACTCTTCCTTCTTGCAGCGTTGTTTATCCCAAACGGTGAGTTGGAAATCTTTTACAAATATATTCCTATATTAATAAATACCTGCAGGGTTGATTTCAATACCTCGCTTAGAATGGTTTTTTGATAAGAGATCAAAATTTCCTTTTCCTCTTGGGCCAACGGAAAAACCTGCTTTGTAGCTTAACCCAACGACAAGAGCCGCTGAAAACAAAAAAACTCACAAGATCATATCTTGACTTTATAGTGGAAACACACAAAGTCAGAGATTTAGGAAAATTACCCTTTGCATATAAGCACCAACGAGCTATTAAACAATAAATATCACTGATCAAGGAGCAATTGGCTTGCCGAACTCCTACGTAACGAGCGAGCACTAAAAATATTAAATGCACTTTCGTTTTCTCACTGGACTCTGAAGATCAGGTTGTTGAAACGTCCGTCACCTCCAACGACAGTCTTTATTTATTTATTTATTTCATGATTCGCCTAAGGGCAGGTGATAATACAATAGGACTCTAGGTCCCCTATATAATATTAACACCCAAACCCAACCCCAATGAAAAAAAATAGAAAACTAGTCCCAAGTCCCAACCCAACATACACATTAAAAGAAATTTAGATATAGGAAAAGGAAAATGTAACGACAATTAGCAACTACAGATACTCAAACGATTAATTCTACGACATTTAGGAGAAATTAGCTTATATGAACGTATATTATCTCCATCAAATACTAATTTAAGCMTTTCAAAAAAGAAATGCTTTAACTTATTTTTAAAAGAAGAAACGGAAACCTTTGACTTAATGTTATCTGGTAAGGCATTCCATAAATTAGCTAGACGATTGAAAAAGGAATCGCGAAACAAACAGGTTTTGAAAGGCGGCGTATTAAGATAAATGCCTGAGCTGCCGCGGCGGGATTTGCTATTGCAGTACTGAATGTAATTATGAATATTTAAATTAATTTCACCAGACTTGCATTTAAAGAATTACACTAGGTCGAGGTATTCGAGCCAATAATTAAGCGGTAATAGCCTTAGGCGCAGTAACCTATCCTTATAACTAAGGGTGTCTGATTTGCAAWKAAACTTGGTGGCCCGTCTTTGAGTCTTTTCGACTAACATGAGGTCTTGGATTATGGATTGAGGGGCCCATACCTGGGATGCATAACAAAAATAACTACGCACTAAAGATGTGTATAACAAAATTAAAGTCTTAGTGTTCAGTAAAGAAAAGCAATTCCTTTTAATGAATCCCATCTTTCTGTTGGCTTTAGAGACAATTGCTGTTAAATGATTGTTCCAGGTGAGATCTTTTGTGATTGTAATACCAAGATCTTTTTCTTTGGTTACCACTTCCACGTTGGTGCCATTAATGGTGTTGAGTCTAGCAGGACATGCTTTCTTTCTACGGATTCGTAAGTTGTGGCACTTGGATGGCTGAAAGTTGATTTCGTTTTCGACGGACCAAGAGTTAAGTGCTGACAGATCAGTTTGTAGTGCAAAGCAATCATTAATTGATCTTATCACTTTAAAACACTTTGAATCGTCGGCGAACATCGCAAGGTTAGTTGAGCGGAGGACTTCAAGCATGTCGTTCACAAACATTAGAAAAAGAACAGGTCCGAGGATTGAGCCTTGAATAACGCCAGATTTTACTTCAGACCAGGAGGAATAGGAACCGTTGATCACCACACGTTGCTTCCTTGCAGATAAGTAGCTCTCAAACCATTTGAGTAGAGGGCCGTCAATCCCAAAAAAGTGTAGTTTAGACAAGAGTTTTTGGTGGCAAACAGAGTCAAAAGCTTTCGAGAAATCAAGGTAAATGATGTCAGTCAAGGCTATATATATATTAAGACTACACTCATCCGGACGATCACATTTCACAACAAGCTTCAACACCATGGGTCCCAACCATTTACTCCTATACTAAAAAAATATTATCAGATCAGTTTCGTTTTATTTATATATTTATATTTATTTATAAACAAAATAGACAGTGTAGTCCAATTCAACATAGGCTGGTTCACATTAGTCGACTATCAGCACTTTTCTATGCAGCAAATACGGCAAGTTAGATGTAAGCGAGATTAACACCCGGCCACTTGATCTTCAATGTACTCCAGGTGTACACTCAATTGAAGAATCGTTGTCGGGTTCAGAAACATAGAACATAGAAGCGTTAATTAGATGCATGCTGTGACCGGCGACCCGTGGCATCATCCACTGTTTTTAATACGCGTTTGGCATTCTAAACCGACTGCATGAATGGCGTAAATGAATAAATTATAATATAATTGTCATTTCCCATGTGCCATTTCGGTCTCAGCTTCTATGTTCTATGTTTCTGGACCAGACAACGATTCTTCAATTGAGTGTATACACATACGATTTGAAAAGCACCAAATGGTAAAACAACTAAAATATTATTAATAAGACTGACTATGTAGGTTTAATATGAAAGGAAGGGGAAAAAAGTGAAAATACAGAAATCAGGAGAAACAGAAATCCAAGCAGTTTGGGTTGGGTCTAAACGATCAAATAGAGAGTTGAAAATTGTGCTAATGAGTTGCGTCAGTACATGTGACTGGGTGCAGTTAGTAAGTTTGATGCTCTGAACAACAGGCCTGCGAACGAATTAGTCATCGCACGACTTCCTTTCTGGTTGATGCTCAGTTGCAGCTCACTTTATGGTTTCTCGTTTGTTTCTTTGGCGAGCTACCTGTGGTGTGAATATTAATGTGACCAGATGAAAGTAAAATATCAGTATGCCTGCGGAGAAGGCCATGCTAAGTATTCTCTGTTTGAAACGATGTAATTAAGACTCTGTAGGATTTCAAATAAAACGAGTAGATTTTATTTTTTTTTAAAACATGAAGTTTCGGCTATATCACACTAGTGATAGCCTATGACAGAATGATGATAAAAGGGATCCAATGAACGTGTTTGAACTGGCTTATGCTTCTTGGAAAATTATATCTGAGCATAGTTAATAGAAGGGAACCATTCCCCTATATTATAAACTATGAACTGAGAAAATAGCACCAACAAAAAAACACACGTAACCTTTTTATAGGTTTTTATATGCCAACTGCGGATTTATTATTTCAAAAGGAAAATTTTTAATAATTTATTTCTTTCTGTAAAAAAAAAAACATTTCACTCGGGTTTTTATATTTTTTGCAAAATACTACAAAATGTTCAACTGTCAAAAAGCTAAATTAGTAACATTCGTACTGACAAACCATATAGATATTGTCGGACATATATTGACTCGAAAAAATGCTTCATGAAGTTAAGTGGAAATAGAAAAAGCATTTCAGAGACGCTAACTCTCCACGAGTCGGCCTCAGTAAGTGAGAACTGAGGGATTACTAATTCCGTTTGGTTTACTTACGACGGTCTCTATGATCGATCTTTTGTGTCACTTTAAGGAGTGTAGGTGATGACGCGTGGTTGCGTTACATTTATAATACGTAATTCATAGGAAGCCGATTTCATTGGTCAATGAGGTGTGTCACGTCGGTACCAAGCAAATAAATTTGACACCTGTTTTATATACGGCATAGGCCAAGTTATTAAGTACCGAGGCAGAGATAAAAAGACTTCCTAGCCTTCTTCCTAGCCTTCTTCCGTCAGTTATCAAGATGAAGCATTTAACTTTCCTTATCGTCGTCGTCCTCGCTATTATCCCACAAGGTGAGCTTTCAGGACAAGTAGAAAATCAGTCTATATGTAACGTAAACTGCGCCTCTCTAATCTAAATCAACAAGATCTGTTTTTCAGATCAGTTTGAAAAACCGCATCAAAGATTTTACATCAATCAATGATTTATTCCTCGCACACATTCATTGGTACATGTCGAAAAAAGATGATTTTTAAGGTAAAGTTAAGTTTTATAGTACCGAAGCAGACATTGTATCGATTGCTCAAGACCCAAGCACGATGTTTGTTGGACCACTAGTGGTTATTGATGGGTTGCAAGCATTCCCAAGAGAGTTAAGAGATAAAAACATGGCGGCCATTGTGGTACCGTTAACAATGGATGCTAATGAGAAATCTTTTGTTAAATGGGACCAACATGGCCGCGATGACGTAGCGTGCAAACGAAGAATAGTTACTGATACGGTTTTAGCATGACACATCTATGACTTGTAATACATCTTGCATCAACGATATATTTTATTATATATTACCTTTTAATTATTAATGGGTTTTCGATTCGTTTTTTTACTGCCGCCATTCAAGAGCATAAAAGGTACCAACTGATTATTTTGATGGACGGCGTGCAGCTCGCAGCAACCTAATTCGCAGAATATGGAAAACCGCAGAAACATGAGGTTCTGGATTGGGAAAAAATAGGCCGAAATAACTCCCTGCAAGTCCTACGTAAAATATATTGACATCGGTTTTACTCGACCAACCTTATTAACCGCCAAAAACAGCTTGATATCATTTGTCTCAGAGCTGGCTCGATCGTAAATACCGTTGGTTCGAAGGTGAAAAAATTGTACATTTTCACGGAGTATCGGATAATGATATCCACATCACGTAATGCGGGAAATAATCGGATACAACAGCCGCATACCTAGTCAGTACCATAATCAGTACCATGTTGCAGTATTACTACTACAAATGTTACTCTTTTGGACCTGCGTAAAGTGAAAGTGCTCGTTAATATATTGTGTTAGTTAGAAAGTGAAAGGAAAGGCGAAAAGTTTGTACATTTTCAAGGAGTATCGGTATCGGATAATGATGGCAGTCCACGTCACGGAATGAAATAATCGGAATTCAATATCACATCATTACAAGAGATACCTATCCTCACACGTAATCAGTACCACGTTGCAGTATTACTACCTACAAATGTTACTCATTTTAGTACTGTGTGAAGTGTAATAGATGGGTTGATATGCCCATTGAAAGCCCAATACTTGGTCGGATATTAGTCACAATAAAACAACCAGCTGCTGGGAGCTCAACAGTTCAGCTCAGCAGCTGCTTTACATGGTACACCTACTGTCGCATATTGATGAGCTTTTTTCTGTATCTTTGCTGGCTTGTCTAGTATACACCACGAAACGTAACGAACCAAGGTTCAATTAAATACAAGCCTCTCACAAAGGAAACTCGACAACTACTCTCCGTATAAAGATTAAAATAAATAAAAATTTCTTCTCAGGATATGGTATCAAATGAAACGTTTGTCAAGCATACAGTACGGGTCCAAACAGTTGTAAGTCCCCAACCCAGGTTACCTGTCAAGCCCCCAATGACCGATGCTTTACATTCCGTACCATGATGGAGACGCCGGGTCCAGATGGAGCAATGATGAAAATGACCATGGAAACGCGGAACTGTATAATAGGAGGCATGATGTGTACTGAAGCCGCCCAACAGCAGATGTGTCAGGAACCTAGAATAAAATCATGCAACATGAGCTGCTGTGCAGGAGACTTATGCAACGATGGTTCTAACCCTCCAGGTAATCTATTCGCACGAGTATACTTTTAAGAAGATCTTAATAGACCGTTTTACTGATACGGCAACAATCTCAATTTCTATTAGTAAGTAAGAGAATATGGGATGTCGAGGGAGCAAATATTGGAAAATTTATAGACTGCACAGCTGTCAGGCTGTCTTTTCATATGACTTTACATTATCCAATGTGAAACGAATCTAAAAAACAATTGAATTTGCTGGTAGTTGGAGCGATATGCGTAAAATCATTTGAAAAGGGGAGGTTCAGAAAAATAATCAACATCATTGCTCATGAACATTTTTCAGCATCATCATTCACCGTCACCACCAATGCAATCCATCACCATCGTATCATTATCATCCCAACAATCATAATCCCATCACCAACATCCTCATCATCATCATCATTACCATCGCAATCATTATCCCATAACCCTTACACCTTATCACCACCACCATTATATCATCGCCATCATCATCATAATTCCTTATCTATCTTTTTTTCCCTTATAGGTAGTGGGGTGACACCTTCTAAACCAGGTAATTTATAAGTTTTCATCGAACAGTCTTCGTACGAAAGGATATCATTTTTTTTTTTAAAATCTGAAAAGGGCCTAAACAATGATAATCATAGATGTCTTTTATTTTTTACTGGTTATTGTACTTTAGTTAACAGTTAGCTTACCTTTCAGCATCTAACGTATCACTGTCGTGTTACGAATGTAGTCCTGAGGGAATGGGTCCAAACGGTACGGCTACTCCTTTGATCAGCTGCAGCGCACCAAAACAAAAAGTAAGGAATGATATGTTAAAAAGTTATCCACCTGCAAACTAATAGTGATTTTTGCCTGATAGCGTCTAGTGTACAAGTGTCATTGCTGTGCGCATGTAGTGTGCAAGTGTAATTACTCATTGCAGTGTACACATAGTGTGCAAGTGTAATAACTCAATGCTGTGCGCATGTAGTGTGCAAGTGTAATCACTCATTGCTTTGCGCATGTAGTGTGCAAGTGTAATCACTCATTGCTGTCTACATGTAGTGTGCAAGTGTAATCACTATTGCTGTGTACATGTAGTGTGCAAGTGTAATCCCTTTGGTATATATTAATGTATGTTTTTATTTTATTTTTTAGAAATGCGGTGAGATTGCTCCAGGTATGCCATTTGACCGTTGTATGACTGTCAAGATATCAGTCAAGAACCCAATGACAGGGGCCCTTATTGAACAAGAATCCAGAAACTGTTCAGTGTCTTCGATGTGTTCTGGCAACATGCTCTGTAACAGCATGAACAGCACAGGAGCTATCACTAAATGTAATGTTCAGTGCTGTGAAGGTAGTCTATGTAACACGGGCGTGCCTCAGACAACTACTGTCCCTTACGGCGGGAATCAGACAACTACTGGCCCTTCTCCATCCGGTCCTAAAGGGGGTCAGACACCTTTAGCTGTTTCTGGCATATTAACCTTCATTAACATCTTTATGGCTTTGATTTTCAAGTAGATCTGCCGTCATTGACTGTATCGTATCTAAGCTTCTATTAATTAATGTAGTTAGAATCAAACGTAGGGGAATTAGGGTCCAACTATAGATGAAACACCTTTGTGACTTAGGGTTCTACTATAGGTGAAACACCTTTATGACTTAGGGTCCTACTATAGGTGAAACATCTTTGTGACTTAGGGTCCTACTATAGGTGAAACATCTTTGTGACTTAGGGTCCTACTATAGGTGAAACATCCTTGTGACTTAGGGTCCTATTGTAGGTGAAACACCTTTGTGACTTAGGGTCCTATTATAGATGAAACACCTTGGTGACTTAGGGTCCTATTATAGGTGAAACACCTTTGTGACTTAGGGTCCTATTATAGNCATATCCAAAAATCAGTTTGGGTTATTGTATTTAGGGTTCATACGGAGGCCATGAACATTGAGTATTTTCGACATATACCGTGACTGAAATCGTTGTTTCTGGTCGCTATTTTCTCATTCGTTTCTATTTTCATCCGGAATTAAAGCCCGAAAATGCGTTTCCTTTAAAAAAATACTTTTTATTAGTAATTTACATTATTTTAACAGTTACAACATTCGTTTCGGGTAGATTCTCTAAAGAAAATTAATAGCAGTCGGATTAAGCCAGTAAAACTGACACAATTGAAGACCTACTGTAAGATTTTAACTGCTCCAYCTGATAAGATAGTTTCAGCTTTAAAAACTTTCCTTTTGAGAAATCTCAAAATTTTGGGTACGGTTTACATCGCACGATGCAGTTTAAAAAGGAACATGGACATGCAAAAGCCATTAAAGATAATATGTTTTGAAATTAAATCATAAAGCAGTTTCATGCACGTTTGTCGGCATTCTGCAAAATCCCAAATGATAAGATGTACATGCCCAATTAGAACAACGTTCCTGGACGAAAATCTTGGTTAAAAGTTCGGTTCGACGTGCTGCTCAGCTGAGCTGCCGGAGTTATACACTAGTAAGTCCCCTCAACGGACCCCGGGACAGGGCGAGGAATTAATGTGACGAGACCGGGGGTTTAACGCGCATGCATTTAACAGCGTGAATGCACGGAGATACGGTGGATTTAACGCGTAGCTCATCAATTTTAACAGCAAATATCTTCCTGTGTACCCTGGACAGGGCGGGGAATTTAACACTACATAAATGTTAAATTCCCCGCCCTTTCTCGGCGGTCGAGGGGTAGGGGTTACAATTGACTAGTGCATGAAAACAAATAAAAGAAAAATAAAGAAAACAAAGAAACATAGAAACGAACGAATGAGGGAGGGAGGGAGGGAGGAATAGGAAGGAAGGAAGGAAAAGCAAGGGAAAAAAGGAAGGAAGAAAGGAAGAAGGGAGGAAAGCATAAGGTCATTAATTCCGGATGAAAATAGAAACGAATGAGAAAAAAGCGACCAGAAACAACAAACACTTGTCGATTTCAGTCACGGTATATGTCGAAAATACTCAATGTTCATGGCCTCCGTATGAACTCTAAATACAATAACCCAAACTGATTTTTGGATATGTTGTAGAAGAACATCTAAATAGTTCATGACGTGAGTTTCATTGAGAAAACAAGTTGCGCACTTGATTAAATGTTTTTTGGCGTAGCAAGGGTCAAATCTATGTGTGAATAMMACTCAATTCTAAATATCATCTGACCGCATTCAATAAATAGCTAAAACCATTATTTTATACCCAATCAAGTCTCAAACATCTCTTCTATCAATTTATAAACATATAGTTTTCATATCTTTTTCYTATTCTGTATGCGTTAGTTGTTTTTGGACCGGTTTGATTCAACTGAAAATTTGCATAATTTTAGCGGTTTTTTGAAAAACTAACTACACCACGTTTGTTTGCTTGGTGATACCTTCCAGCAAACCAAAAATGAGCGAAATCGAAATTTTGACCGTGACCGGCCGATGCTCGAWATTAGTGGACCTTCGCTCTTAAGCTATGATCCGTCTGGCACCTCAGAGTTCCTTTAATGTATATTTTTCATGTTATTTTTTAGAAATGCGGTAAGATTGCTGGTATGCACTATGACCGTTGTATGACTGTCAAGGTATCAGTCAAGAACCCAATGACAGGGGCCCTTATTGAACAAGAATCCAGAAACTGTTCAGTGTCTTTGATGATGTGTTCTGGCAACATGCTCTGTAACAGCATGAACAGCATAGGACATATCGCTAAATGTAATGTTCAGTGCTGTGTAGGTAGTCTATGTAACACGGGCGTGCCTCATACAAATACTGTACCTTACGGCGGGAATAAAACAACTACTGGCCCTTACGGCGGGAATCAGACAACTCCTGTCCCTTCTCCATCCGGTCTAAAGGGGGTCAGACAACTTTAGCTGTTTCTGGCATATTAACCTTCATTAACATCTTCATGGCTTTAATTTTCAAGTAGATCTGCCATCATTGACTGTATTGTATTTAAGCTTCTATTGATTTATGTAGTCAGAATCACCCGTGAAACACCTTTGTGACTTAGGGTCCTACTATAGATGAAACACCTTTGTGACTTAGGGTCCTACTATAGATGAAACACCTTTGTGACTTAGGGTCCTATTATAG